TCTGTGTAGTAGTGAGGGCTATTCCCTTGCCACTATCACTTATTACCTGCCTGACAGCATCATTGACCGTGTTTTTTAGGCTGTTGGCAGATTTTTCAGAATATACAATATAATATTTGATAATAATGTAAAATTATTACTTCAAGTCAATTATACCATTTCTCTCCTTGCTATGTTTTCTAGGTGTGCTTGTAGGTTAACTCTCTCACCTTTGCTAATTTTAATGCTTTTATAATGCGTTTTGCTAGTGATTTAGCCATGATAAGAACAGTGCCAGTGCGGGAGCCATTTTGTTATTTTCAAATTTCATTCAATCTGGCCGCCATATTGTGCCCAGGGCACCTCCTTTTATACTGTGATCGACGGAAGCGATTTCATGACGTTGCGTGAATGGTTTTATAGTGCACCTTCTTGTTTAACAATTAAATTGCTTACTGTGTAATTATAAAAACAAATTAAATCACTTTTTCATCACACACTTTCAAGCAAATTTTGATTCCAGTAATCATCACACTTTTCATGTTGTGTCCCTGTATCATTTGCTCTAAATTCCCTCCATCCCAGACATTGCATGTACACAATACACGAGTATTTAGACAAAAAACAGGTCTTCTAGTACATACAAGTATATACATGAACCAAAAATAAGTAGATGGAGTCTGAGAAGATGATTTTAATGTATTTATATTAACTATTAATAATTAAAGGGTGTGTCTACGTAGCAGTCAAAATGGCAGTTAGTTTGCTTAAACACGGATCTTTGATGGTCTTTTTAGTCCTTCTAGCAATAGCAGATGATGAAAACAGCAATAGAAAAGGTGATGAAGACATTAGCCTTTCAATGATTCAACATTTAAGTGCAGGATACATAAAAAGTAAATGAAAAATCACCAAAATATAGATGAATTTGGGAAGCAATAAGTAAATGTACATACACGAAAATTTGCCAATGAATACAAGTAAATACACGACCTGCTTTTTTCAAAATACAAGTAAATACAAGTACACAAAAATTCCAGTAGACGTGCAACGTCTGCTCCATCCATCAATCTCTCATCATCTCATGATTCACTCAAGCTCATAAATCATAATACTTTGACGCCACTTATTTTTAAGTAGACAAATATTTGCAATTTGTTAATGGTATTGATTTAGCATGTACTAATTTTTACGATTTTGCTCTTTTTTCAATTAAAACTATTAATAAACCTAAATTATTAATGCAAGTGCAATTTTAAAGCCACTGGCAGAAACGCAAAAAATTAGTACTCGCAAATAATAGTGGCTTTAAGGTAGTTCTTTCTCTTTTGTTGATCTTTGTCCATGTTATGTTTATTTATTTATTTTTCGCCCTTTTTGTTTGCTTGTTTGTATTTCTGGGATTTTTGCCTTCCTGCAGGTCAATCTCCTCTATTTGTGCCATTTTATTCTTTTATATGTTTTACTCTCTGTTTTTGTCCTATAAAACTCTATTAAAATTAAATTAATTATTAAAGTTTACTAAGCATGTGCAGTAGAACAAAAAGGTACAGTAGAACAAAAAGGCACATGGCTGCCTTGAGTAGGTCTGCTATCAAAACCACAAGTCTGCTATCATGATAGCACACCTGTGGCTCATGTCTGGCTAGAGCAGACCTCACATGGTAATGATGTAATTTTATATAAATCCATAAAAGTTAATAGCTGTTACAGCTATTTGCATAGACCTTGCAAACTGCCAAGTAGGTGGTAATGTGACTACACAATGCAAGACACACCTCAATTTAGACAGTCCCCTTTGAAGTTCATAGATTGGTTTATGGATTGGTTTGCAAGTGTGTGCAATTTGCTGTACAGGATAACTATCTCTTTCTTTTCTTATTTCGTAGGAATTCAAGGTGTTTATCATAGTGTAATATAATCTTTAACACTTATTCAGTTTCCCCAGAGTGACTAGTGGCATATCCAATGGGGGGCTGAGCCTGAGGGGGCTTGAGCACCCCTCTCATGGCTGGGCTCAGAAAAAATTACCCAAATCCTGGACTTTGGCATCACTACCAAGCCTCTTAACAAAGTTATCTAACCCCCTGATCATGATTTCAGCAGTTTCCAGTACAATCAGGAGTCGTCAGAAGTACCAGTATATGCTTAAAATTATCTTGACCCAACCAAAAATGAAGGAAAATGCCTTTTTACCTCCTTAAAAGGGGGTGTGGTCAAAATTGTGCCATGCTTCATGTGTCCTCAGCACCCCCTTTTCCAACTTCTAGATATGCCAGTGGTGACTATGAGGATGACTGAATGATATTATGGTCAGCAAGGGCATACTAAATAAGGTCATTTGCACTATTAGAAGGGAAACAGGAGACAGAGAAGAACTAAAGACCAAATGTTGACACAAAAAATAAATGTGCCAATGGCCCAATACTGTTTGTATTTAAATAGAAGGAGATCATTACACAGTGTACATAAAACATGTACATGAGTATGTACTATCATTACACATGCAAGAGAGAAGTTCTACCAATGAAGCTTGGGATAGTATATACACAAAATGCCTTAAAATAAGAACAAAGCATATAATAGCTTGCAACTATATTTAATTCAGCATAAACAAACACATGATTGTGCATGAGTAATTATTTTCCATGTTCCTTCCCCCTCTCTCTCTCTCTTACCTTAATCCATGACATGTACTGATGACAGCTTGCCACTTTGGATGTCTATTGACTTTTCCATGATAGAAGCAATTGGGATGAGTCTGAATGCAAGAGAGAAAGGGAAGGAGAGAGCGGATAGGGGAAAATTAAGTGGAATGTGTTTTCGCTCTTCGCTGCAGACTACACATACTTCAGATACTTGGATTCCATCCGAGTCGGTGTATACAGAAGCAAAATGAGGTGCAATAAGATTCCTACATAGAAAGAGAGAGGGAGTGGTAATTAACAAGTGAGAAATATTTGAGCACTTGCTTGTTGAGCTCTAGCTGCAG